AAGCAGCGCATTTCCTCAGCGCAAGTGGAAGGGGCGCATCACTTACTAATTATTTCTGATCCGAGAAGGCCAAAATGTCAGCGATTGTTATTTTATGTACCGTTAACATAATTTCAAGTCGGTTGGGATTTAAAAGGCAAAACAAGTCACTGGTGTTTGATATTCCAAAGTACGCTTGGCATTTCACCTTGCCCTGGGCACACATTGGGCCAATGCGTACACTAGCTCTTACATTATTGTGGGTCCATATCTGTGACATCTTTTCCCGCTACTTGCCAGGAGCACAAACATAACATCCAGCCTTCTCACAAAAGGAGGAAAGAAACAAGTGGAGGTTCAGCCTGAAATCTTGTATGGGCTTTTTACTTAGTGATTGAAATATTGCTATGAAGAAAAGCAACAGGTTTAAGTAAAGTGCTCGCTACAGCAAAGCCAAACAAGAACATCTTGGTAGTCAAATCAACAGTTTCAATTTCTTATATCTTATTCAAATAACTTCTTGTGAGCACATTTTGTAAGCATAGTTAGTTCATTTTAGACCCAGGAATTCAAACAAAGGCAAGAATTCTCGTTGAAAAAAGCCAAGAGTGTCATCCTCGCAATGACAGAGATCCATTGGGATTTAGAAGAGCGCTAGAAGGGAAGTAAGGAAAGGAACAGGGAAGTCTTCAGCAGTTAATGGAAAAAGCTGCAACTGAGCAATTATGCTGAAAGAGACACCCATTCCTAATTTCAGTGCGGAAAAAGATCAGTGGGTCTTTGAGGTTAGAAGGCAGTCATTTATCTTTCACTTAAGATGCCCCTGGTCCACTTCCGCTTTGCATGGAAAAATAAGTTCCATTTGCATAACTATATCACATACATGGTCCAAACGAGAGGGAGAGGCAAACCGTTGTATTTAGTAAATGATTCCAAACAAGAATCATTTCAGGAAAATAAGGGAAGATCAGAGACGGTTTTCGGAGCAGTCTTCCCACATCGTTGAAAGGGGTGTCAATAATGGTTTGTTCCCCTCACAATTCGCCTAGTCATGATTAAGTGTCAGGTGTTAAAAGATCTTGAGTTTTTCCACCCTGTGCCTGTCCTCATCTCTCTGTGCTTTCCCATGAGAGAAGGGATTAGTGACACACTGGAATACAGAAATGGCATTACTCAAAATTAAAAGACTTTCACAAGCTGCTAATCTAATGAGGTAGGATTGGGAATTGCAGCGAGGGAAAGCAAAGCAGTTTCAGCTGCTGAAATAAAAGGCAGCAAATGGGATATTTGTGTTTACCACCAACACTGTGCTGAGGGCTAAAACGGTCTACAAACATAAAAAGAAAAGTTTCCCCTTCTCATATTCCCAGGACAGCGCAGATCAAAGGCAATACAATCCATCAGACCAGCGGCAAAAGGGCATCACAGTTAAAAGGCAGAGGCGGTGTGCGACATCCCAGCTGTGTGGAGGGGTGGGCTCATCTTGCTGCCACCTTATGCCCCTCCAGCGCAGACCAATCACACCTCAGCAGTCTTTGAACCCAGGGGAGCTCTGGAGACTGTCAATCATGTTGTTAGGTCCACAATCACACAGTGCTTGGTTAAAAGAGAGTCCAGGGAATATACCGTACTTGCTGGACTATAAGACACTTTTCCAACTTCTGTTCAGCAAGTACTGTATTTCAAGTGTGTATCCAACTATCCATCATAATATATTACAATTGTTGCCTGTAATCGGGCGGCAATGTGGCACAACGGTTAGCACTTGTGCCTCACAGCAAGAAGGTCTAGGCCTTTCTGTGTGGAGTTTGCATGTTCTCCCTGTGTCTGTAAGGCGACCCCAATCCCATCTCTGTGTGGAGTGAGAGACAAACGGCCACAGTTATAAAGCGCTTTGTGACTCTGGTCTGTGAGTGGCGCTATATGAACGACATGATTACTTGCTTAATCATAAATCCAAATATGAAAGCTATTATTTTAATCCAATCAGAGGAAGAACACTCATTTGACAGAGGGACACACAGGTTTAGTTGTAGGCAAATGTAAGTGTGTTAGCCAACTAAATCTTGTTGTTGTTGCTTTTGTTTGCGTCTTGTTGATAAAAGAAAATAGTACATTTTGAAAATTGTTATGCAAAATGTTGCTACTACAGTACTACTACCGTCTTTGAAACAGTAGCATATTGTCTGTGCATTTCTTACCACACTGACATGTTCGGTAACATGTTTGGTGAAATCCATGTTACCAAACTTTCACATCACTTCCAGAGCTACAATGTCAGGTCAGCTCCCCATGCTTTGACTAGGATGAGTACCATCATGGATCAACATTGGGAAATTAGGTGCTACTATTTGGGGGTTTTTAACATATCATATTAGTCAGCCACCTATTGTGCAAGTTCTCCCACTTAAAAAGATGAGGGAGGCCTGTAATTTTCATGAGAGACAGAATGAGTAAAAAAATCCAGATAATCACATCTGATTTGTCATGCTGAAAGACCCAGCCACGTTTCATCTTCAATGCCCTTGCTGATGGAAGGAGGTTTACACATGTTTTTACATGGCCCCATTCATTCTTTCCTTTACACAGATCAGTTGCCCTGGTCCATTTTCAGAAAAAGAGCCCCATGTTTCCACCCCCATGCTTCGAGTAGGTATGGTGTTCTTTGGATGCAACTCAGCATTCTTTCTCCTCCAAACGCAACAAGTTGAGTTTTTACCAAAAAGTTCTATTTTTGGTTTTTTTGGACAAAATGACATTCTCCCAATCCTCTTCTAGATCATCCAAATGTTCTCTAGCAAACTTCAGACGTGCCTGGACATGTTCAGGGGGACACGTCTGACACTGCAGGATTTGAGTGTGTTGCTGATGTTAGCCTTTACAGTTCTCTGGTCATCTAAAAACAAGCAAGATTTCTGGCTCTCAAATACTTATTGTGATTAATGTGATTTTTTGTCTCATTCTGGATCTCACAGTTGAGGTTTACCTATGATGAAAAATACAGGCCTCCCTCATCTTTTTAAGTGGGAGAACTTTCACAGTTGGTGGCTGGCTAGATACTTTTTTTCCCCACTGTAGCTGCAGCACTGGGAACGGACATGGGAGACAGAAGAGGGGATAGGAGTGGAGCTCTCCAAACAGGAAACCTGGATTACCACAGTACCCATCTGGGAACTGTTCACAGCGAGGAGTCGGATGCAAAAACACCTCCAGCAGCAGCACATGGAGAACGAGGAGAGCGCAGCAAAACAAAAATCACAGCAGGTGCTCAGGATGCTGTGTTCATGTCGAGTCGTTCCCAGGAGGGAGGGATGCTCTGCACCGCCATACTGCTTCATTAAAAATTCAAACGCAGCTCAGAAGGCCGTGCACTGTTGTCCCCAAAAAACATGATTCATCATTTTGGTTTCAAATTCCTGAGAGTACAACATGGTTCAGATGTTGTGATCAATTTTCAATTATCACTGTTCCATGCATTCAAACACAAAACATTTTACATAAAATCTTTCCAAAGCCACTGAAAAAATAACACAGCCGCGATGTCCAAATATAGATTCTCCATACCACCCCCTCCTACTTGAAATGTAGCACACTCCATTAGAGGACCTGGCTAGGCACTTGAGGTTATTACCAGGGCCCGTTAGGCCTGAATGAGCTGCCCATCGTAGCCTCCATCCATCCATCCATTTTCTTCCGCTTTATCCGTTGCCGGGTCGCGGGGGCAGCAGTCTAAGCAGAGACGCCCAGACTTCCCTATCCACACACACCTCCTCCAGCTCGTCCGGGGGGACCCCTAGGCGTTCCCAGGCCAGCTGAGAGACATAGTCTCTCCAGCGTGTCCTGGGTCTTCCCCGGGGCCTCCTCCCGGTGGGACGTGCCCGGAACACCTCCCCAGGAAGGCGTCCAGGAGGCATCCTGAACAGATGTAGCCTTCAGCTCCCATTTTGAGTCCACTTCAGGCACAATGCCCCATAATGAAGGAAGGTCATACATCTGGGCTCGGCCAAGGCTCCGAAGTTAAATCCAGTAGACTGGGCTATGACTAGGGATGCCCTAAACCAGGGGTTCCCACACTTTAACCAATCAAAATCTACTTTACCAGCAACCAGAGAACCAAGATCTACCTCAGCTTGAAGGGGTGTAACGCTTCCTAAATCTCACAATTTGATTCAAGTCCCAATGCAGATTTGTTGATACCCTTGCACCCTGGCATTTGTCTTCCCATTTTGTTGGCAGAAATGAATGGGATTAAATTATTAGTTTAAACACTGTACAACAATTGCTAAAAAATTTGGCCGAAATGTCGGGCCCCCTGCCCTAAACCACTGATTTTTATTTCATATATTTATTTATCATTTATTTATTTATTATTTCTTCACAAACGTGAGTTAAATCCACATCTTTTACACTTAAACATTTAGGTTTGTGAAGGGACTCCCATGAAGCACAACTTGGCTTATATGTAGGGGCCCCAATAACATTCACATGTCTGATCATATTGTTACTGATGAGGGGTAGGGGGTCTCTGCATGATTGCCTCTTTACTACGTTTGCCCCTAACATTATGAAGGAATTGGATCACAAAGAAGCTGTTTGATGTGTTTTAAAAAAGCAGCACATTGCTGACCAAACCACATACACACATTACAACTTGTACAACCAATAACAAATACTGACAGAGAGATAAGTGTCTTGAACAAAAGCTAAGAGTGCTTTCCATTTGCTATAATTCTTTATAGCCTTTGCTCCTTGAGCTCTATAACCTTGAGTGAATGCCTCAAAGGGTACACTCAAAAGAGAGGTGAATTTAATATTCATAGATGATTTCTCTTGTCAGACACCAGGTGATTCACAGACATACAGTAACTGGCGACTGTAACAGAAGTTAAATTAGCAGCTTTGTGACAGAGCAGTCATGTGCTGCTGAGCTAAATTACTAAATGCTTGGAAGCATCCTGCCAGTTTGTAGTGGATGCTGATCTGACAGTTGTAATTAAAATACATTGGAGTTGACCTCTTACCTGCCAGCTCTTGGTGGATAAGCTCGCAGAAGTTGGGGTCGTCTCCCCACCAGAAGAGCCAGAGCTCTCTGCGGCCTTGCCTCTGACAGCGCCGCCACACGCTCAACACGTCCGCCTTCAGGCAGCGACTGAAGCTGCACAGGATGGGGTCCTCCTCCGTCACTGGGAACAGGATGGGCGCAGAGGGAGAGCCCTGCCACACAAACCTCTTCCATTTTATCCCAGTCAGATCGGCCTGGAATGCACACACAAGGACAGTGTTAACTCATCCCGCAAATGTCAACAATTGTTCTAGGAAACAAAATTCTTTAACTTTATTTTGGGATTATTATTATTATTTCTATGCACTGACACCGATACCAGTATTGAATACCAATACCAGTCTCAATACCAGTTACTCATACTACTGTATTGACTCCTGGTATCGGGACCATATTGACAATCTCACAGCTCGTCCCAGTGAGCAGCAGAGTGTGTCATACAGAGTGCACAACAGTGACACTCAACTGTCTATTATTACACTGAGATTAAGACAAATATGTACAGTAGTTACCTAAAAACAGATTAATAGCCATAAATGTGTCACAATTCACATATAATAAGAATAGCATGATGTTGGATTTTAATTGTTTGAATTTCTAATCTGCTGTTGGCAAATAAACAATTCTGTGACGCTCTTCCAGACAACTGCTGTGATTTTGCATGGAACAAAAATAAATGTATTTGATTGAGCTCTGTGGGGAAAGGTATGGCTTCAGTATTGTCAAATACTCAAAATAATGTACACATAATCGTATTATTTTAAAAACAGTGACATCAATCCCTGATCCCTTGTGTTAGGATTCAGATATTGGCACGACAGCCCTACAATTAGAGAACATTCAGTATGTCTGCCTGAGAACAGTGAGTGAGAGTAGAGGAGCCACTCAGCACCTCTGAGTAAACATGTGCTGAGCAGAGTTTAAAGAGAAGGTATTAATCCTCTTTTATGGAGCACTTCACCCTCCCCTCGACTTACTGACATGGGACGCACAATTATACAGAGAAAAAAAACAGGAAAAAGATGACATGGAAAATGGAGCACCATTATGTGTTTATATAAAGTGAAATTGTACTATTTAAATGGGACTTTTGTGGTTAGTAACATAACACTGCCCACAGTTTTCAGTATCACAAAAGTATATATTATAACCTAATAAAGCTTGAAGCAACAAAAGATTTCTAAACACACTTTGGCTTTTATGGCCAGCAAAAACGCAAGGGAAGGAGCCTCACGAGCAGTAAATCACTGAGGTCTTATTAAGTGTTAAACAAGAAACACTACGTTCTACTATAGCTAGGACTGCTGCCCCTCACACCAGCTCTGACAGAACGACCATGTTGAACCAAACAGGCACCAGTCACACACTGCCAGACCCCAAGGCATCTTCATTTCTCTAACAGTCTCTTTTTTTGTCTATCCTCTGAGACATGCTTTTATTATCGTTCAGGCTGAGGAAGCAGAAGATCCTGCTCTGTAGTCAACCAATTAAATTAACAATTTGTTCACTTAAAGAGCAGAGCCACTGAGGCCTGAACAGCGCTTTGGTCAACTGGTGGCTGTAGTGAAAAGGAGGACTTTCCCTGCAGAAGGGAGAGAACCTGCATTAGCTGCTAACTGGCTACATAAACAACCAATGCAATCAACTGCACGGCTGCAGCCGGATGTGAGCGAGCACAGGAAAGCACAGGATTGACTGTGAGGTAGACCAATTATTGGAATACTCATTACACTTACACTTTTAATTGATGCAAACATCTCTCTAAATATCTTTCACTTCTAACATCCAACCGATATATCAGACGACTGATATGTCAGATGATATTTTCAGAACATTTTGAACATTGTTGCAAACTGAAAGTGAAACACAAACATGAGGAGTGTAATGATGACCTACAGCCACTGGCATCACTGTGTTGAACTGCAGCTCGCCGCTCCCGCACGCTTGGCCAATGACATGTATAATCAAAAGCACAGGTTGATGGAATACTGATCCTAACATTTGTAGTTACAGCAGTCCATTGCTGGGCAGTAAGCCAGCATTAAAGAGAGACACAACCACTACAGAGAAAAGGTTAGGTGCACTGGTGCGCCTGGGGATTTCAGCTGGACGCAGCAGCTGTAATGGGCGCACTCTGGAGCCCTGCCTCTACAGCAGCAGTGGTCACTAGACCTGCTGCTTCTCTCTGAGCCCAGAGAGCACACAGAACTGAAAATTAACACTTTCACATTTTCTACAGCACACACTTTGAAAGAACTGCTTGAGTTTAAGATTAAGAACAAGTTTCCTTGACTTGTTTAAAATCTCTCTTACTGCACTTGTCTGCTGTGGTTTTCAGGTCTTCTGAATATTTTTTGTGCCTTTGCAACTATTTCAAAGCCAAGCCTGGTTGTTGAGAGAAATACGAGTTTTTATAAATATATATATATAAATGATTGTAATCTCCAATGGTTATTGGAGAATAATGCTGGTCATATAAAGTAGACTAAGAGGAAAACCCTCATCGACCGATCACGCTGACATTCATGATGGCTGTATTCTAGAATTATCTGGATTTGATTAATTCTCATTTACGTCCTAAACAACTAAGCAAAACATTGAAAGTATAATTGCAAGATTATTTGATAAGCAAAATTATTATTAGTTACAGTCATAATTTGTGCTAAATAACGCAATAATTGAATTTATTAACTTGGTTAAAGTTAATATGGCAGGAAGCATTTCTGGTATGAAAGACAAATAGTGATATAGTAATACAATACATTTCAATAAAACTCTAAACTCAGTTCCTGTTTGTCTGCACCTGTCACAGAGGAAACATCTGCAGACGGCAGAGGGGTGGTGCAAGACAAGCATCAATGACCCCGTGAACGCACTCGCTCGGAGGGAACAGGGATATTTTGAGTTAGTCCAAGTCCTAACTTAAGTGGCCTGCAGATTTTATTACACCCGTCGCCGTGGAGATTGGTTACACACTTGTTGATGTGATTATGTGCTGTGTGCAGACTAGCCGGCATCAGGACACAGACAGAACACTTTGATTTAGTCTAGAGCCATTATTTAAAGATTTCAAGGATCACATTGTGGGGGAAAAAACGTTGAAATTATTTAGCTAGATATTAAAACTGGGTTACCTAAACTTCAAACACAAAAGAGGACTGTGTAATAAAAACCATCTAACCCAAAATAGTGTGGTTTTACTAATATTCACATGTGTGTATTTTCTGGCCTCTGTCACATCTTTAGATCAACCTTTTTCAGACAGAAAAGTTCCACAATCAGCTCTCATCCCAAAACTTCAAATAACAACTAAAAGGGCTCTTTCTTTCAGGTATAATTATGTTTTCTAATAAAGATGAAGACAGCAGGTTGTGGTGTGATTTTAAAATTTAACTTTTACATGACTTATTTTTTTGGGAAAGCAACATGTGTTATTTACAAAAAATCATGTCCAAATGTGCTTTCCACAAATTGTTTCCTGCTACATTCGTATCTTTTCTCCCTCTTCATGTTCGGACACAATTTCCATGACCTTTCACAGAGAGCCTAATATAATCTACAATGAGATTTATGATACAACCGGTACACTAAACGCAGTTAGATACAGTTTCAACAGAGCAGATGTCGAGGAAGAATCTAGTGAGTCACGTTCTGGGGAGTTTTCAACAATAATAGCTCACTCTCTTTGCCTGTCAGCCCCACAGGTACAAATCAGGTCAAAATGCTGAAAGAACTGATTCAGCTTCATAGGTCACAGTGAACTTTGGCAAAACTTCTAATTCTCTCAGTAATCGGCCAAATCATCATTTTATGCAAGCACTTGAAATCCACACCTACTGTATCAGCACTCTCTCATTGTGAGTAATGCTGCTGCGCTGCTATTAAACCTATGAATGAAATACTACAAGAGCACAAGGTTACACTCTTCATCTCACATTACGGCTTTATTCATCAGATTTTTCTCATTTTCTCCCCCACAGAGAATTTCTCATCTCTATCATTGCTGTTTTGTGCATTTTTTGCCAACCGACTGTTATTGCTGGCTGCTTTTAGATTGAGAGATAGGAAATTCCTTTAGTGTTGCAAATATGGATGAGATGAGAGAGAGAGGAGAGTGTGGTTGTGTGAACAAGAGGTACTTCAGCGCAGCAAAAGAACAACTTAATTGTTACAACTTGGCCTAAATATAGTTAACAATTTAGCAAGGGGAATACAAGATTATTAAACTGTGAATATGAGATTGTTTTACTCAAAGACTAAGAAAATACAACAAAATCTTATCTGTTTGCTGTATAGGAGGCATACAAGTTGTGTACATGTGACATCACAAAGAGCCCATAGTTTTACTTTGTGGTGAAACTGAAAAATCCTTCCTGGTAACTGGTTAAATGTCAAAAGTTTAGAGCTTTCTCTCTCATTCCTGCGTGAGTACCCATGAAACAAACACTGTCACAAAGGTCCACATCTGTGTCAGTAAATATCAACTATGGTCAAACTATTTATACAGGATGGGGTCTAGAAGCAGTGGCAATATTAACAAGGAACATATGCATGATGTTGGCCAGTAGAAAGGACTCGGACATAATAATAATATGTCTCAAATAATGATGTGGGAAAACATTTGGACATTTTCTTGGACTTGGAGAACATCTAATTCAAGAATTTCTTTCCCAGAGAGTTGTATATTGGCACCAAACCTCCAACAGAAAAATAATTCTAGAACATGAACGCAATATCAAAACCAAAACGATAAGACTGCATAAGAAATATTAATTACCCGTTGTTGCAAAATACAACAGAATTGTATGAAATATTTGCCGAGATATTTTCCCGAAAATATCCCTCATGAGCCTCATCATCAAATCTCTACTAATAAAAAACATAACTATATTATGTTGCTGGCTGCCTTCACAGAGCAAATGACCTGAAGATTCATGGCTTTGTGACACATAATAATGTTAAAACTAAAAGCCAAAGTCCAATTCTGTCACTAACATTTCTTTCTTTTTCTCTTTTCTGTCAACATCTAATTTTGTCTAATTTGTGTCCAATTCCAGTCCACACACACACACACACAGTAATACGTACGTACACAAAAATCTTCTTGTGGTGGATGTTTTATTACTTTAATTCTTTTCGAACTCTTTTCCACCTTCGCTAAACAGAAAGGGATGAGTGTTTGCACCTGAACTCTTGCTCGCTGACATTCAGGGAAACCACTTAAACACAGAGGAGCACAAGGCCAGCACAACTCCTGCTGCTGCTGCCAGACCGTGAGCTCAGGGCTGCGGATGTGTCCGGTTTTCCATGAGGTGTCGGCGACTTGGGTCAACATGCGCCTCGGGTCGGGTCAGAGTGTGAGGAGAAAAGAGGAACTTTCTTTCTCAATATAAAGCATAAATCTCACTTTGGAATCTGTCCCTTCACTGTTTGTATACAGAGGCAGTAGGCCAAGTTTTGCACAGCTCGTTCAGTGTAATTTGGAAAACACAGAGGAAAAAATTGCAGCAGAATTCAAGTAAGATGCATGTTCTATAGTGGAAATAGTACAAGAATTTATACGAGAGCCGAAATGATAACAAGCTGCACTTTGCTTATGACCAATCATGCATGTGTTTATGGCTGCAGGATGTTGAAGTATCCAATTTAGATTTTCTGATAATCATTGATTTGTGATTTCTGTAATGAAGCTAAGGTAATGTTCCAAGTGCACTATAAGGGAACAAGGATTTTTTGAAAATAAAAAGTTGTATTTCTTCAGTTGACAATATTTTAACTGTTGTCTCTATCTCGTATTAGCATTGTATGTTTAAGTATGTTTAATATCTCTTTAAACAGAGGGATAGTCAGATTTTTTTTAGTATGCAACAAAATAAGTTGCTAGTTGTAAAATAAGTTTCAGTAAAGTATTTATATTTTAAATAATTGCAACAAAAATGGCATATCCTTTCATTCAACAACGTGGAGAGGCAGACTGCTCTATTATGCCTGAAAGACCTCGCTGCACTTGTCCTGTCTGTCCATTCTAAATAAATCTGTAACACTAACAAAATAAATGTACTGCAGTAAAATAAGGGAAGCCCGAGATATATATTCCTCTGCAGGCAGTGGACATGAGTGGGTCTCGCTGATTTAAAGTCCTTTTTATGATCCTGCTCAATTTCCCCGTCAGAATTGAAGAGGAATGCGAGCAACAGCTGAATGAAGGACCCAGTGCAGCCGGTGCAAAGGGGAGCTCATTCTTCTATAGTTATCCCAGGTCCAAAAATATAAACCATCAGTCTACATTAAGTCAGCGGGTCCAGGCGGGACGTTGTGGGGAGGTGACATGTACGGAGGGGTTACGCTCTTTGCTTGGTCCAGCTGCTGCTCACCTTCCCTCTAGCCACTTTGAGGACACAGTAGGAAAACACAGCACCCGTCCACAGCTGCCTCTATCAGGCCCATCAAATCTGTGACAGAAATTATTTACTTTCACTGTGAAAGTGGCTAGTGTCACATTTGCATTAGTTTCCGTTAAGGTCAATGCAAATGACATGTTGTACTTCTGCAGAGCAGTATTATCTATTCTCTCTTAACCACATACTGTGTTGCAGTATGTGGGCTTTATCTGTATTGTCAACTTGAGCATTTGCATTATTAACTAGTGCATCTAAGACCAAATTGTGTGCAATGGAGTGTGCCACTTTCTCACATAAAAGACACGTGAGGTGGAGGCTCAACCAGAGTGAAGGACAGCGTTAGTGACAGTAAATGGTTTGTTAATGCAGTATACATTACCTGCGTGCACTAACCCTGGAACTAATTTACATTCTGTACGATGCAAAACTGCAATATTGAGAAATAATAAGTAATGATTCTCATTGTAAGGTGTCTGCGTATGTTATTACATTAACCTGCTGAAGGCTCTGGTAGATAGACACTGCCTGCATCAAATTACAGACTATGAAGTGAGACGGAAAACTGCAAAACCTCAAAAGCATGATGAGATAAATGTTTTATGCAACCAACAAACTCACTTAAGGTGTAATGACAGCCTAGCCAAAATACTCTTTCAGACTGATTATAATAAACATGTCAAAAGTGTGCCACTTCTCTAAATACTCAACAATGCTAAGTTTAAAAATAAAAGCATAAAAACAAGCTAGGCGCTGCAGTGGCAGACTCTGGAGAGGTTGTCCAGTGAGAAACAGAAAAAGGAGAAAAGACCACAAAGTGCTCACATTCTTTCTCCATAAAGCCACAAAGTGGGGTCTGTTCAACTCATGAGTCATAGCAGCGCTGCTGTTGTGCTTAGTCTCAGTGAGCAGGGAAATGTCAGGCAGACAGCCACAGCACCACAACTACCAGCTTCCAGTTCACTTGTCCACCATGAGCCAACGCTACCTTCAAGTGCCATCGTAAACATTATAATTTCAAGTTCAGCGCTCACCATCGACCCAGCTGAGCGGTACGAGGAGAGTGTGAATTCTCTACAATGAAATGTTATCTTCAGGGGGAGGACAGCTTGAAACCCTGGGTCAATTTGTGGTAAACACAGTGTACTATTTCACTACTGTTATTATATTGGATTCCCTGTGAAATTACTATTAATGTGTTTCTCCTCCTAATCTTTGAACATCTTTAACCTTTAAAAAAATTAACATTCTCTTATTAACAAATCAGTTCTCCATTCAATGAACTTTGCAGATCTCTCCATGCTGCTCTGCAAAGTCAGCCGGAATCAATTACTATAAAACGAAAATATACTTGCATCCAAGTGTTAGTCATTTGGGCGTAATAATACCTACAGCTAAGACTTGTACAAACAGTGTTTTAAGTGAGGCTCCTGAAGGCAGCATTACCCCACAAGCTCACCTACAAGTGAAACTGTAGTTAAGCCTGCTGACAAGCCAATTAACTGCGACAACAAACACATTCAGACCATGCTGCTGATAATCCTGCCGCACCTTTGTTTTGTCCAAGCATGAACTCTGCAGGAAACACTTCATCAAACAGAATGTAAACAGTTGCATAACTATAGAGAATCAAATATTTCTGAAACCATGTGTGCTGACAGGTGAAAAAAACAAAACTATTTGACAGCCTTGTACTAATGACTCAACCACACCTCCTCCATCCTCCCTCCTCCTAGAAACAAACTGGCTTAGTAACGTGGAGATAAGGCGTGGAGCCACCTAAATGTTTGCAAAAATCAGATATTAAGTGCCAGGGATTATATAATCACCCTGAGGCCCGTGCTCTAGTTAGTCTGTATACAACAACATGACGTCCAATGAGAGTAATCCACTGACAAACGCGGCGACGACTCTTGTGTTACAAACAAATACTAACAACACAATCACGTGACAAATAGTAACGACGTCTGTGAGAAATGTACTCTTGAGGAAAACGTCTGATCGCGTGGTTTAATAAGTGTCAACACAAGAAAATATGTCAAAAGTGCATATGATTGGACTCACAAACTAAATGCACAGGATACGAATGCATCTCACGGGGCATATGCACGACCAAGACCAAGGTGCACAACTTTCATAACAGGGGCAGAAGTGTTTGGATATCAGATGTGTGTGTAGCAGGAAAGTGATTTGTTGTGTTTGTTTTGCAGAGCAGCGCGGGGTTGACGTGAGCGGCGTGCGCTGCAACAGAGAGACCATTACAACTAGTGACAAAGTGCTAACGCGGAGATAACCCCAGAAAAGTCATTTATGTGCATACACCGGCTGTAAGCACTGCTACAACTCACTGACGTCTACAGCTATGGGCTAACATTAGCTTAGCCCTGTGCAGCTAGTTAAAAAATGGCTGCTTTCCTTTAGTTTTAAATCTCTTACCAGACAGAATAGATTGGAATGGCAATCCTCCAAGCTGGCCCCGTTGGGTACGAAACAAGAACTCATTCTTCTTCACTGCAAAATCCAACTCTCCATCATTTCACTTCATCCGGGGAAAAAAGAACAATTGTCGGATTTGTGTTTCAAAAGATGTGCAGACTCAATCAGCGAGAGATATTTTGTTTTAACATTTGGCTGGAGGATAGTTAATTGAACAACCTTCCGAAGGCAGTTCCCCGCTGGAGCCAACAGCGCATTACAGAGACTGGTAATTACTGAGGCATGTCAAAAGCACGCCGTAAAAACTCATTCAAGGAGCTCAAAATTATTCAGAAAACAAAAAGAAAGGGGGAGCAAAAGAAGCAACTCTCCCCCTCCCCCTTAGCCCTAAAACCGTCTCTGCTTAAAAAATAAAACGACCTGTCTCAGTCGGCCATCGGAAAAATCCATCTAAAAACGAAATAGATCCTTTAGAAATCTGTCGGTGTAAGCCATTGGGTTGCGTTGGAGCGATCACTTAGAGCATTATTACAGCCTCGGTTCCTGTTGGTTTGAATTCATGGATTCCTTTCTTTAATGGCGGCCACAGGGACAACTCTGCCTTCCACAGCCTATTGGTTCATCCGTGGTCAAAGCGCTGTCAAGACTGCGCTCCGCCCGCTCACACAGCACAGGGACCAGGACGCACTTCCGGCAAAATAAGAGCCCGCAGCCGCTGTCTTCTCACGCACCTGTCCTGTGCACACAGGGCTTCTCTTCATCCGATCAGATATACATTACGGCCACTTTCACACAGAATACATCAGATTATTAACCATTACAAAGACAAACACAAAGACTCATGCCAAATACCCTTTTATTTAGATGAATTCTGCAGGAAATAATTCCCGAGCATGCCTGATTTGACATTGTCGTGGTCATGAGGCTGTAATAACACAAGACTGATAGGTATTGCCGCTAGGCCAGCGCAAGTGGCGCTACTGAGCAACAGATTTAGTTACTAATGATGCCTAGCCCTATAAACTTACACTCACTTACACACGGCACCACCTAGCGCATGTGGGCTCACACTTAAAATGGACATTTTAAGACGCAAGACAGAAGAAGCACATTTTTGCTTTTTGAGGTTTTAAACTAGTTCATCGCACAAATGTCTAATTTCGTAGTTTTTGTTGTGTACTTTTCCTTGTTTCCTTAAATGCTGCCATCAGAATGTGCAAGTGTATTGAAAGTAAAAATAACGTGTGTTGTATTTCTATTTGATCCTTTTTGATGCCAAATGTAATTTGTACATTTCTCCATTGTGAGAATTATTGAGATATATTTCCTATTCTTAGTATTCTTGAAGTGGTCATATATATGGAGAGCAATAAAGTAAACTTTGAAATGTACATATGGGAGACAAATAAAGAATTATATTATCTTATCTTATATTGGTGAAATCAGTTTAAAACATGGTGTATTGCATGGGTTTGCATTGCATTGCTTTTTGGGGTATTTGGTGTAAATATTGACATTTATAATTAAAACAAAACAACCACTTATAAGCTAATGTGACAATAAGTGTCCCGCAAAGTTATCACAAATGTCTAGCAACCATATTGCGGGGCTAATTGAAATCCAAATAAAGCAAAAATAATATGAAAATATAGGTCATTATATTCAAATTGTAAAAAGCATACAGATTATGAAATATAGTTCAAATACAGTCTGTTAATATTAAAATAATAAAAACTGCCCACTGGCAGCGAGCAGCTGAGCAGTTGAAATAATATGTCAGGTCCATAGTTCAACAGTAACTTCTGTTTACAAAAGCTACTTATCTTCCCTTCGTGTAGAGGAGTAACTTGTGAAGGGGTCAACAGACCTTCAAATAAAGAGGCTGAACCCATAGACCACCTTTTGGCCTGTCTCACTCAAAGAAAGTATCATTGCAGTACAACTAAGTACACTAAAATACACCAACGCCGGAAGGAAGTAGCAAATGATTTGCATTTAATAATAACTCATGGGAATTGTGAAAGAAAAGACACTTTTACGCTTTTCCCTTGGTTCGTAATCTGATATTGATCATTCATTACTTGTAAGATCATTAAATGAAATTTGGTGACTATTCACATCTGATTTATACACAATATACACAAAATAAACAACATGAATGAAATTGGATTTTATGAACGGAGAGTTTTCAAAGTGATTAAAGCCATACTTCCCGAGAAGCTCTCCCCAGCATCTCAGAAGATGATGTGTGATAACACTGAAGAGCCACAATTCCTTAGCACATGAAACCATTAGAGGGCTTAAAGAGGATCTTCTCTGTGCTCCGAGCTCTGACTGAGGCTGCCATAATGGTTTGATGTGCGACAGATACAGTATACTGTGTGGGTGTGTGACTCAAAGCTGGTTGGAGCTCTGATAAAGGCTTTAGAGACAGAGTTTTTTTTAATTGTCACCAATTCAGAAGTGCCACTTTGTTCTTCAGTGCAGCCTTTTAGTGCAGATGAAGTGTACAAATGAGAGTTTAGACAAAGGACAAAGTGGAAGCAGATCCCTGGTCATTAAGTTGAGAGGACTGCAGAGTGCTGAGGGTGCACACAGGCTGGCTCTGTGCCCTCCACCTCCGTCCTGAGCAGCAGGAGTGGGACCACTTGCTCACTCACTGCCATATGCAAATATAGGTTCAGCTGTAAGGCTGATGTCCTGCAGCTCTGTAGGTCAACGAACAGTTACAGTCATCAGGAATCAGTGCACTTGTTTTTATGGATCTAATCTCCTTGTATAGAGACAAAACAATATAAAAAACCCAGTGTCAAACTCCATTCATCCATTTTCATCCCTTTATCCGTTGCCGGGTCACCCAGACTTTACGATCCACATACACATTTCTCATCCAGGGGAATCCCGAGGCATTCCCATGCTGGCTGAGGGACATCGGTCCCCAGAAGTCTCTTCCCAGTGGGACATGCAGAGAACACTTACCTGGGGAGGCATCCAGGATGCCAGAGCCACCTCAACTAGCCCCTCACAAACCAGCGGCTCTACTCCCAGCTCCTATTTCTCGCCTTCAGGCCCCTCTGCCTTTTGACTGCTTGTATCTGCAATCTCGTCCTTTTTCTCATTACCCAAAGTTAATGACCATAGGTGAGGGTGGGAATGTATTTGCTTTGCCAATCGGACCTTTCAGCTCTGTTTGCAGACGCTGCTCCCTCTGCACAGTCTCATGCAACTGCATCACTGCACCAATCCTACTGTGAATCTCACGCTACGTCCTTCCCACACTCGTGAACAAGAGCTGAGACACTTGAACTCCTAAACTTGAGGAAGGACCTCTGCCCCACCTTAGAGAGGCTACAGTCGAGTGCCATGGCCTTGGATTTGAAGGTGTGATTTTCATCTCAGCCACATCACAAACTGTTGAAGTCCATGTTTAATGAAGCCAACAGGACAATATTATCCACAATCAGAAATCCTGTGGTCCCCAAACCAGGCCCTCCATCAAACTCAGAAATGTTTATTCAGTAAGCTGTACCCACTTCATTGTAGTTGTTAAATACTCCAGAGTGCTTGTCACTTAGTGCTTCTGTCTTTCCAAGAGGTTGTGCAGTGGCAGGATCTGGCTTTGATGGAGGGTGACATGTGGCATGTTGCCCTGTGCACTTGGGCTAAACCTGTGTGGCCTGTTGCAGTGCTGCCTAAACAAAAGTTGTTCAGCTGGGCGACTGCCTGTAAAGGACGTGGAAGTTGTGCATCCCGCTGCTAAATAATCGGACACACTTTTCCCAGTGCAGTCTTTTCACAAGCCCTTGTTGTTTGTATGTCGTTATTCTCCCTTCCCGCCTTCTTGGCTCCTTCACACCCTCCCCCTCCTTCTTCTCCTTTATACACTTTGTGCACACATTGCAAACAGATGGAGAAAAGGTGTCTACGAGGAAAATATTACCCCAACCTAGCAGTGTCCACTCTGCAATACTACCGTTGGATTAATAAAATCAATTCAAATTGACACCTAATAAAATGTGCTCCTCCTGGCTCATGCTCTCCCTGCAGACACAAGCCCCTGGGAGGGAAGCTCTCAACACAGGGCTTCATGAGAGAGAGAGTGAGAGAAAGAGAGAGAGAGGAGAGAGAGAGAGAGAGAGAGAGAGAATGAGATCATTGTTGAAATGACACCACCAAAAGCAGCAGTCAGCAGTGTCGAAGTGGCCGTGTTTGGAGGCTGACCTGGGTGACTGGCTACAACATGCCCAGCATTCTTCAGTGACACCGCACATGGACATTTTCCTTATATTGATACTGAAATTTGTCGATGCTGTCTGTATTATGACATATTTTTGACTGAAATCAATAAAATGAATGATTGTTACAGACGCATTCTAGACGATTTTGTAAGTAGTGCAGTGGTAACTTGTACCTGTCCTGAATACTTGCTCTCAGATTATGGCAACACATATTATTTCTGCAGTGCCTCTGTAACAAAGGATAGAGGCACCACAGGAAACACACCCAGGGCTTGCCGACACTGCAGTTTTCTCACCATCCATATGGACTGCTGCAATTAGATCAGATACTGAAGCTCAGGCGTAGACAGACAGAGTGGAGCAAAGAGAAGGGAAGGGGGGCAGGAGGGGGCATAGAGGCAGTCAGAGTTCAACTCAAGGGCAGCTGAGGGCCACTCAGTCTTGCGCTCAAGAGCTGTTCAGGCTGTGGAGAGCCTGCAGCAGCACGGCCAGTCGTGGTTTCACTTAGCCGTCTCAGACAATAATTGTGTAATTGGAGGCAGTGCGTGGGTTGGGAAAAGCTACAAATCCATGTTCAGCTGATCAACATAGACGTTATTTATGAACATAGAAAAATACATGTGTAAGACTTATACAGGAAGGAGATGCTGCACCGGTCAAGTGTATTCACTAATGATTATTAATTCGTTCATTTAGAATGAGTGGGTTTCCTCTGGGCAAAGCCTCAAAATACACAAAATAGGTAAAAGTCTTCAGTGTGGATAGACATGACCAGAGGTTGCCCTATAGTGGACAGGATAGGTCAAATGCAGCAGACAATAAAGTAAA